GGTGAAATAAATTCTGTTGAACAATGTCGTCCAGTTGTTGCATCTTTAAGTACTGTTCTTGATTTATGTAGTCGTGAAAAAGATATGCGTCAACATTATGGTCGACAATTTATTGATGGTATATATACATGTTGGCCACAATTTTCTTCACTTTATTATTCAACAAATATTGATGATAAATTATTAATAGTAACATTATTAACAAAAACATTTATAATTGATAGTCATCAATTAATATAACATGAACAATTTGATAATATATCACAAATGTATTTATTATTATTAATTGATAAACAATTAAATTTAACATTTAAAATATGCTTACTTGATTTATTAGCATTTTTTGCATCAATTGATACAGATGAAAATTTAAATGAAGATAAACGTCAAAAATGGTCAAATGATCTTTGCTGTACATAAAGACAATTTACAGCTGATTGTTTTCCATTAAAAAGTACGGAATTTTCCATAGGTACACAAGAATATCATGAATATCAAGCAGCTATAAGAAAAATTCTTTCAGCATTTGAATTATCATCATCATTTATATTATTTGAATTATTAATATGGATGTTATGTTGTGAACAACATCATATATTTGAAGAAGAAATTTTATTATCAATAAGTCGTTATGTTATTAATTTAAATAATTATATTAAACAAACAAATTTACTTGATTATATTTATTCAATAATATATGGTAAAAATTCATTATTTCGTACCAAACATCGTTCAAATGCATAAGAAAAATTAATATTAAAAATTTTAACATCTGTACGTAAAATAACATTAATTGAATTTTATAAAAATATATATATACATTAGTTATTGATGAACTTGATGCTAAACTTGATTTAACATCACAAACATTAATATCAATGTTAATAAATAAAGTTTGTACATATCGTTTACTTAATCATATGTATACAATATTAAATAAAGATGATATATTTGGTAAAAATTCTTCTATTGCAAAAGTTTTTTTATGAATATATAAAAAAAACAAGATGAAGCACGAAAATTTTTAAATGTTGAAATACCAATACCAGCTATTCAAATTGGACCAACATTTGATGATAAAGAATTAACTAAACATATTATTACACGTGCACGTACGCAATTTGTTGATGGAAGATTAATGAAATCTATGGATGTTATGTTAGCTGGAATAAATACAAATGATAAACAAATTAAATTACATTTAATACATTCATTAGCAGCAAGTTCATTTAATTGTCTTATTTCATTACTTATTTATACACAAACAGAAGCTTTACTTTATAAAACTTTTATTTTTGATGCTAATCCAGCTAAGGTAAATCATATGTTTCAAAGAGAATAAACCATGTACATTAATAGAACTTTGACTTGAT